CTCTCTTTTTCCTTAGCTAAAAGATGTGTTGAATTGGATGGAAGATAATAAAAAAGAAGAAGATTAAGTTAGAGGCATAAGATTGGACTGATTAGTTTTTGTGTAAGACAACAATATGTTGTTCCCAATTCATTTTAAATGCCCAAAGGTTCTGGTACATGATAGCATTTGTTCAATTGTTTAAAAGTGACACATACTTCAACTTAAATGTGTTAGTTGTTTCACACAACTATCTGTGTGTACTTAAATAGCACATATACTTTATCTACAATTTCTCAGGTATTTAATTACTTGCTTGCGACTTGCTTGTGTTCCTTATATTCCATATATACACACCATTCCTTGAGATACTATTACATGATGGAGGACTTATAAGTACAGGTAAAATAGATAACATTAGAGTAATTAAAAAGAAAAATCTTCTCTCTTTTTCTTTAGACAAATAAAATATATACATGATAATGAATGCAACATTTGGACAAGTTGAAAGGAAGAAGAAAACAAATGTTTTCCGAAGGCAATGATTAGCATGTGATTACTAATTTGGGTAAATTGATGCGTTCTTCTTGATTTATGTTAATGCTCATTGATTGTATCTACTCATGTTTATCTCTTTTATTTGATAATAATATACTATATAAACTGAAGTTCTCAGTAATTGAGTCAAACAAAAGTTCAAATTCTTTGCACATTGAATGCCAACTTTTTTTCCATATCTGTTTCAATAACAGTTTTACTGCAGGCAAGCAAGTAGAGCAATGTATATGGAATAACCTTTCCTATTTTCTTTTAAGATGATTTAGCATTATAATGTTTTCCCTACTATTCAGTTCCTAGAAATATGGGGGGGGGGGGGAATCAATTTCAAAAAGTGATTGAAGAAAAATTGATCACGATTTCTTTTGGAACGCTTCTGTGATTGTTTTTTAAACCAATTGTTCATGCAACTTATAGGGATTAATGATAACGATGTCTATGGAAGGTGATGGATCCTAATTGTCGCAAATTTTTGCTCGATAGTTTATGTTTCATCATATAAGCAAAGTACTTGTACATTCATTAAGATATTTTGGTTGAAGAATAGTGTTGACTACTAATGACCTATGTCAGAGTAGAGAGAAAATGTAATAGCACATTTGATGATATGTAGTATATACGTTTGATTTATGGATGGTCTTTATGTACTTTGTTATAATATATAAAAGTCCCGAATCAGGCACATATTGTACAGAACTATCGGTTATTATTACTTCAGTATGAATCACTATCTTGATGCAAGATTGAAACATGATTAATATTGTTCGAAGGCATACATTATGAGGTTATCTTTTTGTCACATGTACATGAGAATGTTACTTTCATATCCATATTAGTACAAAGGCATTGTGCTATGACATCAAAATCAAGCATGTTGGGCCCGTGCTCAGCACGGGCATGGCCAATCTAGTATATATATATAGTGGAGAGGCAAATACATAATAAGGTCATTTGTTTATTGAAATTAGAAAAACTCTGATACAAGACAACATATTATTTAATTCTACAACATTTAATTGGCATTTTGTTTCTGATATAAGCCTATAATTTTATGTTGCAATTTGGCCATATCTTTATAGCGTTCAAAACATGTGAACAGTAACATTGTGAATAAATTTTACTAAAAGAAAATATCAAAATAACTTTAATTTCATATTTTTATTTAGGTTGATAACAAGGAACACGAGTCCGAAGCCAAAAGGGCAAAATAAATTGCCAAAAATTCCAAAAGGGCATATCATATTTTTTTAAAACCAAAAGGGCAAAATCACTCCTGCTGGAGCGATTTTCCTCTGACACATATTAACGCCGTTTACTCCGTTAAAAATAAAATCGTTGCCAGGGCAACGATTTTTGTCCAATTTTCTTTTTCTATTTTTCCACTAAAATCGCTGGCACAACTGTCACGACCGTCACGACCCAAGCCTAGGGCCTAGACGTGACCGGCGAATGGGGAACCCGAAGGAACCCCAAACACGCCTCATAGCGTATCATTACACATCCTTGATCGCGGAAGCAATTAAAATGACCATAAGCAATAAGCATAATCAAAGGGGGAAATCGGGACTAAGGGAGCAAGAGAAAAAAAGAAGAAATGATACATAAATACCATAGATGAGTCAAGCTCAAGCATAATACACAACTTGTCCAACACCACCTCTAAACATGAGTACTTAGCGGGGGCCAAGACAAACTACCGGGCTCACCCTCATAGTCAAAACATAACTAAAAAGAAAAGTCTTATACATAGCAAAAGATCATGAGCAACGTCCCCGGAATGGAGGACTCACCAATAACCTTAATAGGAAATCGTATTAGCCACGCGGAGGAGGATGGTCAAGCGGTGCTCCGGTCCCTACATGGTGACATCATGTAGGCATAGAGTATGCGTTAGTACGTTTGAATGTACTAAGTATATGGGATGAAATGCAATGCTTCAATAGATGGACATTATAGGAAAAATGCATAATCATACCCGATAGATAGCATATTAAAGAAATGATATGTATAATGATGCTTACATAAAAATCATATTTAGTGGGACGTAGTACATGTGTAGTGAGTGACCATCAATATAGTATTTTCCAAGGCCTACCACCCCCTTGGAGAGGCGAAAGAGGTACAAACCCCTCAATGTGGTTACCCGGGCCTACCACCCCTCGAGCTAGGGACCAAGGTACAAACCCCTCGATGTGGTTATACGGGCCTACTACCCCCCCCGTACTAGGTAACCAAGGTACCAACCCCTTGATACGGTTACCCGGGCCTACAACCCCCTGAGCTAGGCTTGGTCGATTCACAACACTTATATAGAGAAAATCATATACATGTATCCATTTCATCATCATTTCAATGATTATATGACCATCCGACTCATAGGACGTACATTGGACATTCCATTTCCTAAGAATTCTATCAATGGCATTTTATCAAACACATGGTGGGCTATTGTTCATGTAGATAAAATTATGTCTTTCAAGAGTACTAAGTCCAACCAATTCCGAAATACATATAAATCAGCCTACCAACAACATAAATATATATATCAACCTTCATAATTTTATCATGAAAGCATGAAAACCATAAACATCACATAATAATTCCATTTCATGATAATATGCAAAAATAGACCATAATAGAATGTGTAGTAGTAATTCCATAATTCAAGAGTTCGTAAATGATCATAAGGACCCATAAACTTGAAGTAAAATAGAGGATAAATGGTTGGACTTGTGGAAAGGAAGGTTTCCACAATCAACCCACATACCTCAACTTTGGAGAATCCTTGATGAAGATTGGAATGGAGAATTGAAGCTTGAGATTGAGTCTTGAATCCGGAATTAGAGCTTGAGATCTTTGAATTTGGCTGAAGATCTTGGTGAAATTTTGAAGAGGGCTTAGAGAGTGTTTTTGAGTGTTTTGAAGCTAGAAAGAAATATAACTAAGTATGGGACATATCCTTTTTTTATAAAAGAAAAACGTCCCCAGCCCGCTACAGTAACTTAGCTCTCTGGAAATTGCAATTCTGCCCGAACAGGTTTTACGAAAATGATCATAACTCCTTCATCCTAACTCGGAATGAGGTGAAACCAATTGCATTGGAAAGCTAACTCAAAGGGCTTTAATTTAATAGGTGGTGGCCCTTCCAGTTCCTTGTGTGCTAAGAGATATTCCCCTTTAAAGTTGACCCTCCAAATCGCATTTTTTGTGATTTTCGAATTTTCATACGGTTGCTCTAAAATTCGGGTTAGACCCATTTCCCACTCAATTTGACCCCCTGAATAAGAATATGAAGTCGAATTTCCGAAATCATACACGGATTTTGAGATATATGGAAATTACAATTATAGGTGTTTCCGAAGCACATTTTCGGGCATTTTTGGGGTCGTTTCAACAACAGCGATTTTTTAACTCTAATTTTTTTTCCTCCAACTAATATCGCTGTTATGGTAGCGTTTTCATAGGAAAAAAATTGGCAGATTTTTGGAAAATTGCTGCCAAGCGTTTTCCTTAAAAAAAAAATTCTTTTTTTAATTATTTTTAAAAATTTTATGAAAGAACAATTATTTTTAAAAGAAATTGATGACAGGGAGCCTGATTCCACCCAAAATTTTGGACTCTACATAGAAATCATCAAAATAAGACACGAACTTTAATCGGTGTCGAATTAGGCTGCCTTTTCAGTGATTTTTGTTAAAAATTATTTTTTAATAAAAACCCTGCATTCTATTCAAAACGAAAAAAAAAAGTAAGAAAAATAATTTTAAAAAAAAATTGAAGAGAAACGAATTTTTAAAAAAAGAAAAATTTTTAACTAAAAAGCTGCCAAGGTAGCAATTTTCAGCCATTTGACAGCTTTTTTATAAAAAAAAATATATATATATCTTGAAATAAGGCAGCGATTTTGGTGGAACTAATTTTTTTTTAAAGAAAAAATCGCTGCCTTTGGCAGCGATTTTGGTAGTAGTATTCTTTTATTTTATTTTATAAAAATAAACTTGTTTTATATTTTTTTAAATCACTAGCGATTTTCGTTAATGTTTTTTCTTAAACGTTATTATAAATTTCGTGGAATTTAAAATATCGCTGCTCGTGCAACGTCTTTGCGATTTTTAAAGAAAGGAAATCGCTGCCAGGGCAGCGAAATTCCCCTTTAACTATTTTTTTTAAAAAAATATCACTTAAGACAAAGCGATATCATAAATAAAAATTGTCTTATATATTCATGATCATTATTTGAATTGGAGTGTGTCAGATTACAATATGGGAGAGCCTAGCCATGCTTTCATGCATTTGAATTCTTTTTAACCGGAACCAACTGATAGGTAAAAATTGTAATGTTTTCTTATTTATTAGAATTAAATTTTTTTAATATGCAATATATTTATATTATTATATTTTCTAGGTGTGACTAACTTCAAGATACAGTGAATTATTGTACACAAATTGTGAATAATAATATTATGGGTGATGTACGAGTTGGTGAGTTGCATAGTGATGAATCTTTGGAGCATGAACTAATCGATAATGATGAAATGTATGAGGATGATGATGATGATGTGAATGATACACCTAATGCATCCATTGAAGATCAAAGTGTTAATCATCATTCTACAGTGATTCCATACTTAGTTCACACTAAAGAAAGTGCAAAAGATTTTATCTATACAAAAGATGATGGTTCTGTCCGAACGGCACTTTGGAATCCAAGCAATCCTAAATATATCCAGTCAGGTTCGATTGTTGCAAACTAAATATTTTATAGTTATTTATTTATCTGTTGTTGATTAATCTAATTTGTATATGCAACTAGGTATGCTATTTATGAATAAGAAGCAAATGAAATATGTCGCAAGAGCATATAATCTTGCACTAAAAAAAGAATTTCCTTGTGATCAATCCAAAAGTAAAAGTTGGAAAGTAATTTGCAAGCGTCATGAGTTGGGGTGTAATTGGATGATTCGCTTTAGAGAGATTTCAAGTGATATATGGAAGGCAGGAAAAATGATTGAACCGCATACTTGTCTTACAGATAATTATAAGGAGGATTATTTCAATTTGAATAGTAACATGATTGCCACTTCATTGATACCATTTGTTATGCAAAATTCAGATATAAATATTAAGATGATCCGTGAAATTATCAAAGGAAAGCATCACTATACTCCTAGTTATAGAAAAACACAAAAAAGTCGGAGAAAAAAATTTCAAATGGTTCATGATAATTTTGAAAGTTCATTTAAGGCATTACCTCGATTCATGGTTGCACTACAATTATTTAATCCAGGCACTATTATTGAGTGAGAGCATCATTCTACAACAATGCAAGGTGAACAAATCTTTAAATTTCTTTTTTGGGCTTTTAAACAGAGCATTAATGGTTTCAAAAGTTGTAGGCCGGTCATTTGCATCGACGGCACACATCTTTATGGATTGTATGATATGAAACTGTTAATTGCGGTTGGGATTGATGCTAATGGAAATATTTTCCCACTTGCATACGCGTTAGTTGCACGTGAGAGTTTTGAATCTTGGTCGTGATTTCTCAAGTTATTATGGACACATCTTGTTTGTGAACGACAAGGAATTGGCTTCATTTCTGACCGTCATCAAGAAATCTTGCAATGTATTCAATTTTATGATTAGTTGAGTCCACCCAACACATACCATAGATTTTGTGTTCGACACTAAAAAACAAATTTTAATAAAAAATTTGTAAACAGTGAACTCGAGAAATTAATGTGGTTGGCTGCTACAGAGCACCAGAAGAAAAAGTTTGTACAACGGATGCAACAAATTAAAATATTGTCTCCTGCAACATATGAATGGTTAAATAAATTTCCTTTGGAAAAATGGACAATGTATAAGGATGGTGGTCGTAGATCGGGTGCCATGACGACAAATGTGTCTGAGTCATATAATGATTTATTGAAAAAAGCTCGGGGGCTTCCTGTGACTGCCATGGTTCAAATGACGTTCAAAACTCTTGTTGATCGTTTTGTCGAAAGAAACAGCCTTGCAATCACAATTCTTCAAAGAAATATGTTGTGGCCTCTTGCAATAGATAAAAAAATTAATGATTATTATCAAAAAGCTCAAGGGCACACAGATATGATGACTTACAACACTGGTGATGGAGTATTTGAAATTCTTGCTTTTGCTCATGATGGTAAAGGTGGAAATGTCCACAAAGTTACTGCAAAATGTAAGAAATGTTCTTGTGGAAAATGGAGAAATTATCATATGCCTTGCTCGCATGCCATTAAATTTTGTAGACTTCGCGGAATCGAGCCAAAGTCATATGTAAGTAAATTCTACAATACAAAATATTACAAACAAACATACGCTGAGACATTTATCCTAGTGGGTGATGAAATGTATTGGCCGCCAACTCATTTTAATTTAATTGCAAATACTGAATATTTGCGAACATGTGGTATGCAAGTAAGAAGCCGACTTAAGAATGATATGGATATAGTTCCGGCTCGCATGGCCAGAAAATGCAGTGTTTGTAAGGAAACAGGTCACACAAAGGCACGATGTCCTACTCGATTTTAAATATATTGTCTATATTTTTAAGATGAATGTAATTTTTCTGCCTTGTTATTAATATTATAATATATCGTTTTTAAATACTTGTTGACATGAATTTAATCTGTCTTGTTGCATTTTAAATATATTGATTAAATTAATCTTTCAAGTGAGTTAAAAAGTAAAAAGATAATTTAATATTTTGTAAGTACACTACATTTATATTATAATTATATAATCGATTTGACCTAATTTAAACAGTATTGATTTGACCTAACATAAAAAGTATTGATTTGACATAACTTAAAGGAAAAGAAACATCCTGCAAATGTTGAAAATAAAGAGGAGAATCTCACTGCGATGACAATAAATTTCAAACTCTTTGTTTAAATTTACACGAAACAACAAATTTCAACACACATAAAAATCTGATTTGCTGCATAAAAATCTTTAGTCTTTCAAGTAAAGATACATAAAAATTATTCTTCTGAGTTTTTCGAATCTTCTACGTCTTCATTTTCAGAATCTCTCTCATTTTGATAGTGACTACCTGCTCCACATCTAGTTGATTGTGTAGCCTAGATGTTCTTCGAAGTGGATTTTCTATATCAAAAATTGAATGTTGTGAAGCTTCAACATTAAACCTTGGATCATGGGACACGGTTACCTATAATACAATACAATACAATATTATATAATATAATAAAATAAATATGCACATAAAATTAAGAAAAAATTATAAAATTTCTATGGAAATTATCATACTTACATTTGAAAAATTCAACATCCCACCAAATGGAGAATTATGTATAGGAAATCACGCATACCATGCTGAATACCATATGAGATCAGCTGAATTGCGCAAAACTAGATATTGAAACATGTGGAGTTACAAAACCAATTGTTTCTTGACTTGAAAAATTAGTATTAGTGTTAGAGGGGCCTGCAGAAAAATCAAGTGTGGGATAATAAGGCTCGGGAGTAACCACCAAATGTGTGTTATTATCAACCAAATTATCTTCATCAATCAAATGATCCTCCGCACAATTTCGACCATGACCTTCACCAGCGCTCCTTCTACCTCGACGTGCACTATCTCTAGGTGTTGTTTGTCGCGATCTGCGAGATATTTGTACTGGTGGTGGTTCATCGTATTGAGTGTGAGGATTGTAATCAGGAGCAAAGCTCAATCGCGTTCCCTAGAAGGCCGCATTCATTGACTCTATTGAAATACGAGCGACTTTCTCCGTATATTGTCTCATTTCATTAGATTGATTTTCATCATTTTCAATCATCCGAGCTCGATGATACTGCATTTCATGACCCCTAGCCTATAATGAATAAAAAAGTATTAATAACAAAAAAAATGTTAAAGATCGATATAATAATTTAAAATTTACATAATATACATACTAATGCCTCATGTGTTCCTGCCATGTGTTGATACCCTTTCTGTACAACATGTGAATTTCCAATAAACATGCGGGAATGCCTCATATACCAACGAAAGTAATCTGCTTGATCACTTACAAATGGAGGTCAAAATATACGATTTTGACGTTGTTCCCATAAATATTGTGTATAGTTAAACGCATCTATATCCTCTTATTTTATTTTGGATCGTTTATCACGCTTAAAATGATGTTCGAAAAACTGGGTACACGGTCCAGGAATATGTTGTAAATAACCAAACTGTCTCACAACACGATCAATCATGTGTCACTCACGATAAATTCCATAAATAAGTGGGCACATGTGTCATCCAGACAGATTGTCCTGACCGACAGCACTCAAGCAATCCATTAATAACATCTTCTGAATAAGGTTGCCAAATAAACTATAAAAAAATATGTAAGTAAGATAATTATTAAATTTTTTTGACAAAAAAATAAAAACAAATATGTACACTAACTAAAACAATCTTATGAAATCTCTTTTTTGTACTATTATGTCATATAATATCTTATTTTGAGGACCTACCAAAAATCTATGTATATGTCATTATATTCACATGATTTTCTTGGATAGTGAGATATAAGTGTGAATAGTTAAAAATTTAAATAAAATGAGATACAAATATGAATAGTTAAAAATACTAATAATATTTAAATACCAGATCATCAGTTAGATTATTTAGTACATCTCTAATCACATCGATTACAATTCGTGCCTCATTTTGATGATTTCTATGTCGCGTCCATTTACGTGCAAGCGCAATTAAAACTTCAAGTTGATTGGTCGTTAGAAATTTCGGTAATGGTTGCAGGGGAATAATACGTTCTCATGCCCAAATCTACAATAAATAAAATTCAACATTTCTTATAATACAATTAAATTTAAAAGTGCATATTACTAGTATATAAAAAATAATTTAAAAAAATGTATACCTGCACTAAAGAGAGAAATCCACAAACTTCATTTGATTGTTTCATTGATGCACGACATAAACAATTATACAAATATGATAATGCGGCTGCTTCCCATGTTTGTGTTGACATTACATTTAAATTTTTCATGTCAATCAAAAGGTCTAAATTAAGCTTATTATTAGATTTATCTGAAAATATTGATCCACCACATAACCATAATAAATATAATCTAAACATTTGTTGCACCTCATGATCAGTTGAATGATCAGTAATATCATCTAAACATTCAATATGCTCAATTAATTTATATGTTAACAATCTACTAACACCAGAAAAATAATCATTATCGGGTGACCATCCCGTTAATTCAAACATCATTTCTTGTCTACCCAAAACTCCTAAAGCATCAGCGCCATTTAAAATTACAGGACTATCATCTATTACCATTCCGAACAAAATTTCTACATCTTGTCAAGTTATGGTAGCCTCACCAGTTCGCATGCGAAAGGTATGCATTTCTGGACGCCACCTTTCAATTAAAGCAGAAATTAATCCGGAGTCATACGACACACATCCTACATCAAGAATTCCTTTAAATCTACAATTTTTAAAATACTGACGAATGCGAGGATGTAAAGGATGATATTTTATATGTTGCCAAAATTCAACATCACCGCGACACGTATATAAGCAAGAATTCTCTTCCCTTAAGCTACCGTTCCAAATTCCTTCGGAACGATGATGAACTTGAATTTTTAATACATCATACTCTATTGGACCAGGATGTACGTACATATTTGACGGATGCATATCTATATATAAAATATAAAAATAAGTGTTAGTGTTAATATAATTATTTAAAGATGAATATATTCACAATACGATATAAAAGTTAAAAATTAATTAATTAAAAATAAAATAAATCCAAACGTACCTTATAGAGGAAAGACTTTTGAAAAAGTTTGAAAGGAGAGTTGGAAAATTATACTGGAAGTTTGAAGGGAAACTTCAACCAATTTATAAGAAAAATTTAAATGAAACACGTGAACTTTTTATATTTTTTAGGCATGTATCTGAGTTGGATTTTTTTTAAAAAAATATGACATGTGAATGTTTGAACAATTAAAAAAAAAAAGAAATTTGGAAGGAAATTTCACTGCTTGTTAGTGAAAAAAAATAAATTTAATACGAATTAAAAAAAATATAATTGGCAGCGATATTTATAAAAAAAAAATTCCACTAAAATCACTGCCAAGGCAGCGATTTTTTTTTTTAAAAAAAAAGTTTCCACCAAAATCGCTGCCAAGAAAACGATTTCTAAAATAAAATAATAAAATTCCCCGAAATTTATAATAACGTTTGAAAAAATAAAACATTACCGAAAATTGTTGCCAGGGCAGCGATTTTCAAAAAAATAAAATAAGTTTATTTTTATATAAATTTTTTTTAAAGAAATCGCAAAAACGCTGCACGGGCAGCGATTTTAATTTTTTTTTTAAAAATCGCAAAATGTTGCACGGGCAGCGATTTTATTTTTTTTAAAAAAAATCGCAAAAATGTTGCACGGGCAGCGATTTAAAAAAAATTATTTTACAAACAGACATTAATTAGTTGACAGAAATTTCAAAAAAAAATTAAATAAAAGAATATTTCTACTAAGGCAGCGATTTTTTCTTTAAAAAAAATTCGTTCCACCGAAATCGCTGCCTTGATTTTAAGATATATGTATATTTTTTATAAAAAAGCTGCCAAATGATTGAAAATTGCTGCCTTGGCAGCCTTTTAGTTAAAATTTTTTCTTTTTTTTAAATTTGTTTCTTTTCAATTTTTATTTTTTTTGTAAAATCGTTTTTCTTAAAAAAAAAATTCGTTTTGAAAAGAAGGTAGCGTTTTTATTAAAAAATAATTTTTTTAAGAAAAATCGCTGAAAAGGCAGCCTAATTCGACACCGATTAAAGTTTGTGCCTCATTTTGATGATTTTTACGTCGAGTCCAAATTTTTGGGTGCAATCAGGTTCCCTGTCAGCAATTTTTTTTAAAAAAATAATTGTTCTTTCATATAACTAAAAAAAAATAATTAAGAAAAGATTTTTTTAAAATTTTTTTTAAGGAAAACGCTGCTAAGGCAGCAATTTTCCAAAAAAAATTTTAAAAAAAAAACAGCAAATTTTTTTTTCTATGAAAACGCTGCCATAGAAGCGGTATTAGTTGGAGGAAAAAAAAATTAGGGTTAAAAAATCGCTGCTATGCCAGCGATTTTAGTGGAAAAAAATTGGACAAAAATCGTTATCCTGACAACGATTTTATTTTTAACGGAGTAAACGGTGTTAATATGTGTCAGAGGAAAATCGCTTCGGTAGGAGCGATTTTTCCCTTTTGGTTTTAAAAAAATATGATGTGTCCTTTTGATATTTTTGGCAGTTTTTTTTGCCCTTTTGGCTCCGGACTCCAAGGAACACTATACTTTTGTAACATTTTCTTAACTGACATATAAACTATTTTAGTGATTCTTAATGAGAAAATTTTACATATAACAAATTAAAAATTGCTAATCGTGTGTTATAGCAAATTTTATAAAATTGCAGTCCGTAGCAAAATTTTAGTTTGCTACGGATATGTCTTTCTGTATATTCGCTAGTCAGTCTTTTTTTTATATAC